TTGGGGTAAATAAAATAGAGCTTCTGCTCGGGAACGCGAGTGCGGGTGTGAAGTCTGCCCTTGAATTTCGTGCCCCCCAGCCGGTCTGTATAATCCATGAAGCCCACTGTGGAGTCCGAGGATGACGGGGAGCTGGAGCAATACCAACAGGCTCTGAGAGGTGACCAGGAGAGGAACAGCTCGATTCTAATGACCAGATGTACAGGGATGCTTATAATGGTGTCTGTAAACTGAAAATACAGTTACACGGCTTGCATACCAGTTGACGTTTACCGGCAACATCTACACTTTTTTACAGATTATATCGCTTAGCCTCTTTGCTACTTTGCATGGTAACGTAATACAGTGATACGATAAACGTATGGTGTAGTTGAGTTTTTTTGATTTAGTGCAGCGATAAAATACTTTATTACACTTTATTAAATATTCTTCAATTATAGTCTCTGCTTTCTATAATTTACGTGCTCTTCGGCAGATCAATGCGACTCAGCAGACATAAATATTTATGGGTTCGCGGTGTAGACATGCACCTATACAGCGGATCGATTGGGCTGTCAGGAACACGCTCCTTCCTCAAGCAGTGGAAGAGTATCCCTTTGGAAAGGCTTTGCTGCCAAACCCCGGCGAAATGCAAGCAAGGCCTTTTCTTACTGGATAAAAACGAAAAATCTTTTTAGATATAAATAGCATGAAAAAACAATTTTTCTAAATAATTTGAAATGTACGCTTCTTTACATTAATCCTAATACAGTGATAGAATAAAATGTATTTCCCTGGACGAAAGCATCCCTTAATTCATTACGTTATATATTGTACAGTAGGTGACTGTTAGGTTTTTATAGAAATGTTCCGGTTTTCCATATAAACCTATGCAATAGGGTCATTTATTTATGAATCTGTTGTAAGGACATACTGTAAATAGTCATATTAACCTCTGTTGGCTGCAGGAGACTGTCAGGTCTTTATATAAACAATGTGGGGGGAAAATTTCAACACAGTCTTTAATTGTGCAAGGTTTCTTGCCGTTGCTGTGTTGCTGTCAGTGTGTTTAGAACCGTGCTGTTGAGACCGTGCGGCCGTCCTGCTGTGATTCCTGTTTCCTCCGGAGGAGAGGGCTTCTCGCTGAGCTCGCATGCCGGCCCCTGCCCACCCGGGTCTTCACGGGAGGGGCAGACAGGCTCGCTGCGGTGTCACTCACCCGGCTTGTTCCTCCACAGACCGAGCCAGCAGGAGCGCCCGGCAGCTGCGGAGCATGCTGGGGCCCAGGAGCCCG